TGGACCAAGAACGGAAGAAATACACGATGCTGGAGATAAAGCTGAGGAATTCTGAACGTGCTCGTGAAGATGCCGAGAAGAGAAATCACCTCCTACAGAAGGAAATGGAAGAGTTTTTTTCAACATTAGGATGTTTAACTGTTGGGAGTCGAAGTGCTAAAGTCCCCAAGTAGAACAAATGATGTACAGCGTAGAAAATTCTATTTCTGGCAAAACCAGTGAAAATGCACATTTTGTTCTGGTATACTCATGTATCATGAGTAACTCTACAGTGATTGTGCTTGCGGTGCCACTTGCTCTGTTGTCTTTACATGTGCTGTAGTATTTGGGCCAGCTGGGAAAGACTTAAAACACAATGCCGGGAAGTTTAGATGTCAGATTTCCAAGAAAGAGTGGGCAGCCTTTTAACCACAAATCAAAAGATACTGTTCTCCATAGCTGCACTGCTGCCATCTTCGGATTTACTGCTCCGTCCTTTTGCTGGCTGAAGGACAGCGGAACGTCCCGCAAGGTGGGTGGGATGGCCGGAACTGACGGCCAGGCTGAGCCTGGAGCGGAGGGCCTCCTACACTTGTGCTTGGGATGATGGCAGTTCCAGTGTGTCACCACATTCAATCTGGTTTAGCATATGGATTTAATATATGAGGTGTTTTTCCTCCCCACTCCCTGCATAAAGTTTGTTCAAATTTCTCATTCCTTAAACTGGTGTTATTTTATGAAGATGCTTTGAAAACAAAATCTACAAACAAGCTGAAGATACCAAAATCTTGATGGTTCATTAAAGTTGTTCCTTACTCACTGAACAGTTCTGGTGCTTCACAGAAATGTGACTTATTAAAGTGTAATTAATAATAATCAGATTGGCCACACAAATTCCATGGAACTTGAAATATGCACATTTTGCCCTAGGTATCTGGGTTTTTTTGAGCCAAAAATAGAGCGGTATTAGCTGCAAAAAGAAAATCTCGTGAGTTGATATGTACTGATGAGACATCAAGGTAGGAGAAGAGAGATTCTTATCACCAAAACATCTGACTGCTGAGGGTTGTTATCTATAAAACTTTAATAGTGAAACCTATGGTAAGAGAAATTAGTGCAATTAGTGCTAGAAACGGGGAAGGGTGGGATCTATCCTTAATCTTCCCAGGACAGTTTATGCTTAGCTGCCTTCTAACATTTCTCATGACATCAGTTGAATTTTTGTTGTTAGGGAGATGAGGGGACAGGAGGAATAGAGCAAGCAACACAGCAGCCTAAGTTCCTTTGCTTCTACTAAAGAAATGTCATTAGAATGAAGCTGTAATTTCCACTAATTAGCTGCCAGGGCTCACTTCCCTTCAAGGGACTTCTTTGAGAAGTTCTGTATAATGTTTCCAGTGCCCTGAGCCACGTGGAGCCTGCACACAGAAAATTGTTTCACCAGATTCAGCTTGAACTCCGCTCGCCAGCCCAGCGCTCGCAGCACTGTCTGCTCTATCTTGGCACGTACCTTTGACAGCTCAGGTGGCTTGGGAGTCTCAAGAGGAGAAAGAAAGATTTTTAATGGAAAAGCGCCACGACAACATGAGCTGGCTAAATTATAGACTGTAGTGAAGGTGCTTGCTTTATTTAGTATTTATAAAAAATAACCTGAATCTGTCTTTTCTTACTTACAGAATGTAACTCATTGCCTGAAAATAACCTTAGAATGGGCTTTTTTACGTACCAGCAGGTTGTACCCCTCTCAGTACTGACTTTCTCCTCATCATCTCACAGATATCCAGGTATTTCAATATTTAAACATCTAGAAGTTAATTTGTTTCTACCTCACTGTAACGCTCCTCTTTCCTATAGAAATAGAAACCATTTAAAGTGAGCAAAAAGAAACTTTTTTAACCTAATCTTTCCTGGTTAAGACAAGTCAAGCAAGGTGGTAAAAGTAAGCCGTGTGAATAGGTTAATTCAGTTTTTTCAAAACATTTTCCCTTTCTTCCCAGAATATCCAGCTGTGCTGGATTCCTTGCTGCCCCTGGCATGAGGCAGTGTGGCAGGTACCTGAGCCTTC